ACGAGACCGCGCTCGTCCTCGAGCTCCAGTCCTGGGATGTGGCAGTCCACCCGGGCCTCCAAGAGACGTTTGGGATCGCCAACATTGAAGTCATGGCGGTCGGTCTACCGCTGGTCTGCTTTGGTGTGGCCGGCACGACCGAGTACGTTCGACATGGCGAGAATGCGTGGGTCGTCAACGAGATTGATCCGGCCGCGCTCGCCGCGGGGATCGAAGTCGTGGCCAGAGACAGCGATTTGCGGCAACGGCTGGGGAGCTGGTGCGCGTGCGACGGTCGAGAAGCGGTTTACGTGGTCGGCGACTGTCGCTGCGTACGACGAGGTGTTGGGCCGCCTCATGAGCTGGCCAAGCACCAGCGCTGCTGCATAAACCATAACAGTATGCGGTTGCGAGGATTCGGGTAGCTGTCTTTACGGCTTGGTTTGCTGAAATACGCACGAAGGAACCAAACTACGACAATCGCCATGCTGGTCGACAAAAGCATTTCAAAGTGGGTACTTCCAAATCCTAAAATGATTCTTCAAAGCCGCGAGGGAGCGTCGGTAAAGAGCGCGCTCCGTTGGTAGGCCACAGGCTGCATTGCGTATGCACAAGGTAATTATGATACCGGTAGATCGCCTAACGGTTCAAACCGCTTTCACTTCCATGGACCACGGGTTAAAGGCGCCTCGTACGACTCTGCGAGCGTGTACGAAGCAATTGGTGGCGAAGACCATGGGTTCGCCTACGCCGCGCGACCACAACGCTCATTGCCATCGACGTCACCGACGTACATGATGACACCAAGATCTTTATGCTTCTGAGGAATCCTCATCAGCAAATAGGCACCAAATAGATGACGAAACATATGTTGTTTCCTAGAGCGAATATACCGGTTAAAGTATACCATTGGCTACTCTTGACGACAACTGGATGTTTTTCGTCGTGTGTCCAACGTCCAAGGGTGGGACACCAAGGACCGTGTCGTGTCGAGAGCGCAGCTTCGGTGTCCAACGCCCCAGCTGCGTCCACGTGCAATGTCAAACAGTGTGGAGCTCCAAGGCTTGGAGTTCCATTTTCGCTTGGGCCATGGACTACACGCTCCAGGTCGAGAAGCCAACGCTTCCTTGCATTGTGCTCGACGCACTCTTTGTGCAGCCCGCGCCCGCCACCCTCAGCTTTGCCCGCAATGTACCGAACCGATCGCTGCTCTATGCCAAGAAGACGCTCTCGGACTCTGCGTCAGGCGCGATCCTAGCGACGCTGAGTCGCGGCAGCAGTGTCTATTCCTGCTCGCCCGAGACGTTTACCGTCACGAGTCCGTTCCTGCTGGCGCCGGCAACCATTGTCAATACGACGGGCTGGCTCGCGACAACCATTTCGCTGCGCTGGCGCCTCGATGACGTTGGCACCAAGCTCGTGATCCAAGGCAAATTTTACACCTCAAAGGCCACCGTGACGCTCGTCACGTCGGACAGCGAGACTTTCGTCGTTGCAACGACCGACGCCAACCAAGTTGTGACCGTCGTGCCCGACGTCGATACGGCGGCGGTGGTTTTGCTCTGCCGCACGTGGTCGCACTCGCAGACCGACTTGAAGGTGCTACTGCTGACGCTGCTCCTTCCGATTTGCATGAGTCTCGTCGCGTGCGTGCTTGGCGACTCGTCCCTGTGGATTGCCACGTCGGTCGTGTGGCTGCTCTACCTGATCTTTTCCGTCGTATGGACGCGCCACTTTCGAGGTTAAGTTTTTGTATAATGTGTATTAATGCTCATAAATCATATTCAGTAAATGAAATGATGCATGCGGATCGCCAACCACCAATGACAACGCAGACGATCGCCATACTTCGCTGCACGTCGCCTCCGAACGGGCAACGCCAAGCGTCCCAAGGGTCAATTTATGGACCCTTGGCAACCCTTTTGGCGACACGATGCGCTTGGCGGTAGACGACGACTTGGATGTCGATGGCGGCTGCGTCAGGCACCAAGGCATTGTCGACGCTATAACATCATCGATGACGCGCAACAAGATCCCAGAACGAGGAACGCACTGGGTGTGGCAGTAGACGCCCCACACAGTGGTTGAGCACTGGCTATTCATATCTACACAGCTCTCGAGCCACTAGGTCGGGGACAAGCGATATGTTTGTATCAATCTATCAAGAAGATTGTCCGACCGAGAAACCGTTAGGATGGGACTGGACAGGAGCCTGTGGCCTGGGCTCCATCAGTCAGTTAGCCTTAGCTACCAATTTGCCTCTTGGTACACTTGCCGGTGTTTGGGAGTGCGGCCTCCCTTCGCCTGGCGTTGGCAACGCCAGTGGCAACGGTCAGGTGAGGCCCCGCCACGTGCTCTCGGTAAATCCGTCGCGCGTACAGCACACTCTGCTCAACATCGTCGAGTCCATGACGGTCACAAGCAGCTCTGACTGCACTTCATCCCATTCCTCCTCCAGCGCCCTACGACAACGTACTCGTATATCACAGATCTTATCGGCCAGCGTGTTAACCGGCCGACAACGTCATGGGCTCGCAAGTCATGTCTCGCGGTGACCGTCGCAGCGCTGACGGCGAGAAGCCGTGCGCAGGCGATGATCAACCGATGTGCGAGCCCGGCCACCGTATCTGCGTACATCGAGGCCACCGGCTGAAAGACGCGAGACGTTTAACAACAAGGTCGATGATGTCTAGGAATGAGGTATACTAGCTGGTGGAATAAAAGGACAGAGCGGGCGGCTTAGTCCATGGACTTGCCCTGAGCTTCAAGCTCCGACTCGATCTGCGAGCAGAAGTAATCGACGTCGTTGTAGATATCCTTGATGCTGCGGCCCGGCACGACCATCTTCTCCTTCTTGTCGTTGACTACACGCCGTTTTAGCCATTGCAAGTCACCAAAGTAGCCACGTACTGAAGAGAAGCTCGATCGTCGGCTCCGACTTGGTGTGCAGCGTCGACGTGTAGATGAGCTCGCACTTGGGGTTGAGCGCCTTGGTCTTGCTCGCGCTCAGCTGGCGGTGAAACTCGCTACAGACAGGTAGGTTGAGCGACATGTCATGCATAGACCTTACGCACCAGGCGCCCGACGCGCGGGTGTCGAAGGACGAGAACGACACTTCGGCCTTCTTCAGGAAGCGGATGATGTTGCGCGCAGCCATCGTCGTCTCGTCGGTGAGCAAATGAGTTGACCTCTTTG